ATAATCTTTATCCAATAATATATGAGATATTTATAATCCAATAAAATATTATAACGAAAGGTCATTATACAACAATATTGAAAAGCTTGTTTGACAAAAAATTCATATTGTTCAAGAATATTTTTTTTTAATAGTTATATTATGTAAAGTATTAATAGTTGTTATATTTATTAAAAAATTTTAATTACATTGATAATAAGATTATAAATATGAATATTTCAATTAAAATATTGCATAACTTTTATTTTCATACTATGATTTGAATTTGAATATATAGCTAATTTACTATTAAAATAAAAAAATTTAATATAAAAATAAAAATTTTAAAATAATATATTTTAATAAGATTTTATATTACAAAACCATTAAATTTTTCATATGCAAATATTCAAAAAGTTTATTATGGTCCAAAATTCATCATAAATTCACGTAAATAAAGATAAAGATGCATATTTAATGTACAAATTTCTATACCATATAGTTATATATAGTATTCTTAAGAAATAAAAGCATTATTTTATGATCTTTGTTAATATCTTGATAAATAACAATATATTGACTTCAATATAAAATAGCATTAACAAAGTATTGTCAACATTATAAATGTGGTTCACTTAAACAATTATGAAGTACAAAAGTAGAATAAATTAATACAAACATCTTTTACTGATCAGCAGTTAAAGAATCAAAACCAGCAGCTATTTTATATGTAATACATCCAAGATCAAATGGAAGAGGGGTGATATCTATAATTTTTTGTATAATTAATAATTGTTGTGATTCCAAAAGAGGATTTAATTATAATAATAATTAAATTTTATATAATATATTATAAATAATATAATATAATATATTATATTATCTTTTCTACTACATCATGCAACATTTATAATACATTTAACTATTTTAAGAAATATATTATGCATTGGATCAATCACAGTTATTCACGGAATATTTATATATGAAAAATCAAAGAACTGTCCATCGAATACCATGTTCTTTAAATATTTTTTTATTCAGATTTTGATCCATTTTTATATTGAATTGCAATTTGTTAGTGATAATCTTTGATTAATAATGGAAAAGAATTGTTGAAGCCAGAATAATCTATTATTAAAGTATTTGAAAATATTTGAAATTCATGTCTACATTTGCTACATGCATATTTGGATGAATGAGATACCAAACCAATAATCTAATTAAATATAAAAAACATGCCTTTCGTGCTGCAGGAATATCACATGCAATACAAATTAATGCTGCAAATGCATCCTGCTTGATAATTAGTTGTTTTAAAAGCTTGACTACATTATAATTGCAAGAGTTCAAGAACCAAAGGTTGTAAATATATTTGAAAATGATCACTATCAGGTTTCTTGAAACCTGGAACAATACCAACTAACAAAAGATTCTCTTTGCGATAACGCAAATTCCGAGGTAGATTGAGTATTGTAAGATATATTGGAGCACATGTTCGATGTTTTTGATACTTGTAAGATGTATACCAATCCATATTCAAAGTCAATTCAATACGACCATCACTTGTATTTTTTATAAAGAAAGGATTTCCTGTATCATCTTGAAATTCTTGCCAAATTCAACCATCATAAATATCACCCAAAACACCATTTTCATGTGAATGACTCCAAGGAGAATCTAAAAGTTTTTCAAATTGAGGATTTTGTAACATGGAATCCAATTGTGTAATTATTGACTGATATGGATAAATTATATATACAACAATAATATTAATTATTTATTATAATAAAAATATAATATTAAATTATTTTTTACCTTATATTTTTTTGCTTCCATTAGAAACACGAACTTCTTTTGTTAATACTTTATTACAATCAAGAGTATCACAAAATGTGTGAGAATTATTTTGTAAATGACAAGTAGTCAATAATCGTAATCTATGACACTTTTGACATACAATATATTTAGTCATTGTTTGATCTGAATTGACAATCTTGTCAGCAAGATATAATGATTGAGGAAATTCTTCAAATCGTGATGTATTTAATCATTTTGGAGTGAGTTGGATTGATTAAAATCATCGAAACTAAAAGAAAAATAGTCATCTTGCATATCATAATTCCAAACATCATTTAAACTATCTGAATATTGTGTTAATAATCGATTGGACGAGTCATCAGAAGTTTGCTCACTAATATCTAGTTCGTTTTTATAGAAAGAAACAAAGTGTCAAACAAATATTTAATTGAGTCGTCCAATTTTCATGTATAGAGCAAAAGATATTCTTGGTTGTCTTCTTACCATTATTATTTGTACTTTGAACATGAGTTGAGGTAGAGTCTTGATATGCGTGATTTGTACTGGGATATATGAGTTTTGGTGTATGCGATTTATGCTGGGAATTACAGCATACTGTTCTTTCCAGTGTCTTCTCCATTGTTTTTCACAAATTTCTTGGCCACCAAATGGTCGACAATATTTTGGACAAGAACAGTAGGGCATTTTAAATAATTACGTATTTGATTTGTGTGTAAACTATATCGATATCGATATGAATCTTTAGTGATCTGCTAAGTGCATGTAGTACAACTTCTTGGTAATGTTTCTTAAATTTCCGTCATTATTCAGTAGTGATAACACAACGTGCTCTGAACTACATGTACTAGTAGAGCATTATGCCGCAGTAGCTGTACACCTAGAGGTTCACGATGCGATGTGACGAACTACAAACGGAATCCCACGTGTGTCGTGTGATACCTGATGCTAATACATGTACGTACTAATAAAGATAATGTTCATTTACATATTACCAGGTTGGATGAATTTTTTGGATACAGTACATGTATATTATTAGATTACGTAGTTAGCTAATTTTAATGAAATTCACGTGTATTGTGTGATACCTGGTGAAAATCGACAACACAAAGAAGTACATGTACATGTAACATGCTCATTTACATATTACCAAGTTGGGTATCGTTATCGTTATGGATTGTTGAGCTTTTTTGGCTAACATTTGAAACCTTAATGTTAATGAATTCCACGTTGTGACAATGGAAGGATATGCTGAATAAAGAAATCCTATACATTTACATGTACATTTAATACGTATAGTTCTAGTTGCTGCTGGTTGATCACTTTTTGTATTTAGCCTGCTATAAATTTTATTGTTTCCGATAACATGTAAATTAGAAGTTGAAACTCACTCCGCATGTATGCATGTGTTTATTTATTCATTCGCTGAATTAATTACGTACGACTTGAAAAAAGAACAAAGGATAAAAATAAAGCGAAGCAACAATCATTAATAACCACTGCTCTACACGATTCACTTATAAATGCTGCACGTCGTTAACATAAAGTACGATTATTCACTATCTGACTCACCTATGCTAACATAAAGTATAATCATTCCAACCCGATTCACTTATAAACACGTCGCTAACATAAAGTATAATCATTCAAATTCACCACCCGATTCACTTCTAATAAAGTCTAATCATTCAACACACTTCAAACTCATCATGAAGAATCTTATTTTAATACTTGTCCTCACTATTGTAACCTTCAGCAGTTTCGCTTTTGCTACGGCGCCCTTTAAGTGGAAAAGAGGCGAATCGCTTGACGACCTTCTTGAGAAGCAAATTCACCTTGAAATACTCTCGAGAAGAAACGAATCGTTTGACAGCCTTCTTAAGAATCGCGTTGGCAAAACAGTCCCCAAAAACTCACCTTTGGTAGCAAGGGCTTACATTTGCCCAAGCGGAGCTCACTTATGTTCAGACAACACTGGATGTTGTCGCAGCGGCGAAATTTGCATACCAGGCGGATGTAGCGGTGGCTGCGGTCCTAATTCTGTAAGTTGTGGAGTCAATGGGTGCTGTCTGGCGGGTGAAATTTGCGGCAGCAACTACAAATGTGAGGAAGGAACAGTGTTACCATCACCTGCATCGACATTACCACCACCACCAACAAGGACACAATCATCATCGACATTACCACCACCACCAACAAGGACACAATCATCATCGACATTACCACCACCACCAACAAGGACACAATCATCAGCGGCATCATCACCAGCAGTGACATCAATATCAGGGAATTCTCGTTGCCCAGCCGGAGCTTACCTTTGTTCAGACAACAATGGTTGTTGTCGCAACGACGAAATTTGCATACCAGGCGGATGTAGTGGTAGCTGTGGCGCCAGTTCTGTAGATTGCGGAAACGGTTATTGCTGTAAGTTGGGCCAAGTATGCATCAGCGGTGGGTATTGTAAATCAGCATTATCAACAGTGGCGGCATCAACAAAAACAGTGATACCAACACCATCAGGTGATGCATCAACAGGGACCTCTTCGATCGGATTACCTAATGCAACAACCATAGTGGTCAGCCCGGCTATAACAAACAGTCCAGCTGTGTCAATGACAATAATCTTAATTATTCTACTTTCTCTAGTTTCTTAAATTAGTATAATATTTATCTTTTCAAATTGCTACTATTGTTGAAATACCCCACGATTTTATCAAGAAACAAATTTGTGTATTTTGTACAAGACTCGGATACAAATTATGTTAAAATATCATATATATAATATAAAATTTTTAATATTAAATTGTTATAGACAAATATATTGTCGCAAATTATATTTATCCAATATTCTTAACCAAAAAAGTTATGCTAATTAAAGTATATTCTAAATTAACTTCTTCAATTTCATTCCCGAATGAAATTCTTGATTGACTTGTATATTATTTTGTATTATGGAGCTGGATCCTTCACCAAACTATCTCCATCGACTATATTATTCTCGGCTTCCCCTAAAAAACAATTTTTCACGGATAATCAAGTGCCATTTTCTTTTCTTTAGTGATTTTTCTTATTGTTTAAATTTTTACTGTATATCGTTATAAATTTTCTTACAAATTTTACTGTATATCGTTATAAATTTTCTTACAAAAAGTAATTAATAAAGATAACGAATGCCAAAAATATCTAAATTGTGTTGGAAAAGAAAAGAATATCGATATGTAAAAATTTATATATATCTCTTGTCCGCCAAGTACATGTAACACGGAGTATTTACAATATTAAAGCACATTATAAGTATTTAAATATTTTATTGTATCAAACAGCTTAGCCACAGGACCCAAATAACGATAATATTAATAGAACTTATATTCTTCAAAGTTTGAAGGTAACGATAATCGTACATGTACATCTTCCGCTATTGTGTGTACTGTAGTGGGTTGCCCGTGTATTGTGTGATACCTGGTGAAAATCGACAACACAAAGAAGTACATGTACATGTAACATGCTCATTTACATATTACCAAGTTGGGTATCGTTATCGTTATGGATTGTTGAGCTTTTTTGGCTAACATTTGAAACCTTAATGTTAATGAATTCCACGTTGTGACAATGGAAGGATATGCTGAATAAAGAAATCCTATACATTTACATGTACATTTAATACGTATAGTTCTAGTTGCTGCTGGTTGATCACTTTTTGTATTTAGCCTGCTATAAATTTTATTGTTTCCGATAACATGTAAATTAGAAGTTGAAACTCACTCCGCATGTATGCATGTGTTTATTTATTCATTCGCTGAATTAATTACGTACGACTTGAAAAAAGAACAAAGGATAAAAATAAAGCGAAGCAACAATCATTAATAACCACTGCTCTACACGATTCACTTATAAATGCTGTACGTCGTTAACATAAAGTACGATTATTCACTATCTGACTCACCTATACTAACATAAAGTACAATCATTCAAACAACTACACAACACGATTCACTTATAAACACGTCGCTAACATAAAGTATAATCATTCCAATTCATCACTTGATTAACATCGTTAATGCCACATCTACCCATAAAGTATAATATTTAAACACACTTTAAATTCGTCATGAAAAAGCTTACTTTGATACTTGTTCTCAGCATTGTAACATTCAGCGATTTCGCTTTTTCTACAGCGCCATTTTTTCTGCTTGGGCGGAGTGTTGTTGACAAAGCATTCATCAAAAACTCAACTTTGGTAGCAAGGGATTCCCGTTGCCCATTTAACTTTCATGAATGTACAGATGTTGGATGTTGCCGCAACGACGAAGTTTGCATGGGAAATAAATGTCGTGGTTATAACTGTGGTGTATATTGCGGAAACGGTTTTTGCTGTAGGGTGGGAGAAATTTGCACCATCGACAACTTTTGTAAGAAAGAATCAACGGAAGTGACATCACCACCAGCAATGACATTACAATCACCACCACCAGCAGTAACATCAGTGGCACCAGCAGTGACATCACAATCAAAAACAGTAGCACCACCACCAGCAGTAACATCAACACCAGCAACAACAGCAGCACCATCACCAGCAGTAACATCAACACCAGCACCACCACCAGCAGGGCCATCACGATCAGTGACACCATCACAACCACTATCATCAGCAGTGATAACACCATCAGTGGATTCATCACAATCAGAGACACCATCAGGAACTCCAGCACAATCCATAGTGACATCGATTAGAACAACTATTCCAACAGTATCAATAACCAGTCCAGCCATAACAAACAGTTCAGCCATAACAAACAGTCCAGCCATGTCAATAATAATAACCCTAGTTGTTTTACTTTCTCTGAATTTAGTATAACATTTATATTTTCAAGACTTTATATATTTAGATGTAATATTACTACTACTATTATTAAATAAACATTTATTACTACTATTATTATTAAATAAACATTTATTACTACTATTATTATTAAATAAACATTGTTATCAAAAATTATATATTTTAAAGGTAAAATCTAACTCATATTTTTTTTTATAAAGTTCGGTTATATTAGTTATCGTTATGTACGTATATGCGATATGGATGTAATTGATTCACAATCGATTTAGCTCCAGCAAAAATTGGGCAAACCATGTAGATTTCGAGAAAATTGTTTATCAATATTAATTCTTATTATCGTTATTAAGTTTGCTTGAGGATTTATTTAATAGCTACTTAATAAAAATTATCCCATCCAAACGCCGTAATTGCTTTAAAATATTCTACATGCATTTGCAATGAAAAAATCCGTTAGATATCGATTTTTTCTGCTAGCTATGCATTTTGACAAATATTCGTTTGAAAGTATTCTGTGTAAAACTTGCAATCCAAATGGTATTAGCCTTTACTGGTCTTTACACTGAATGCCATAAGAAACATTGAATGTTATAATAATATGGATTTGGACAAAAGTATTGGTGGTGTATGCATATGAATTCCAATGACATTAATCACATAAAAAAGATATGGAAAGTGGTAGATAAATATACAGAGGCCTAGCAGAATATTGTGGCCACTTTTTTAAAATAAAATAACGCAAAAACCAATAAAAAACAAGATTTATTGCTCTGAGCTAAGTTTTATTAAAACATATTGTACATTATGTATAATAAGACTATTAGCTTAGAACAATAAATCTTGTTTTTTATTGATTTTGCGTTATTTTATTTTAAAAAGTGATTTGGAAAAAGAAAAATAAAGCATATACAAAAAATTATATCCAGAAAAAATCAATTGGTAAAGTATCGATATGCAAAAATGTCAACATTCGACGATACCGATACATGTATTTACACCAAAATTTAACTTATAGTTGAAAATCTACAGCTTATACATTCTAATAACTATATTCATCGTGACCTTCATAGTGGAAATGTGTTTAAAAAGAAGCTAGTCCTTGAAATTTATATAACTGATTTTGGATTATCGAAGCTCGCTAAAGAGCTGATTTATCAAAAGGATTAGATGTTTTAGCATACTAGCGATTTATTTTTATTATAATATTGCCAGGATTATGAATAAAAATAATTGCTGATTGCAAGGAAGGGATATGTCAGATTTTCTTGTGCCAGAAAAATTCTAACCAATACGCAAATAATACAATGCCTCGGTTTATTAGGCATGAACAATTAAAATCCGAATATGGGTGAGAGTTTAGTATTTATTTTTTTATGTGTTGGTCACTAATCGTGCGTCTAAGAAAATCGATCGGGTGCATCGGGCTAATTAATCTGTATTCTAGCGTTAACACTATTTTCACCTTTCTGCATCACGACCAATATCATCTCGCAAGAATCCAAAGGTAATGTGTACGATATTATTTTGATTCCAGGTATCTCGATATTAATTTTGATAGTGAAGTTTGATTATATTGCTAAATTTGTTAGATTATTTCGCTTTTTATCAATTCAACTAAAAGACTGAAATTCACTCGTTTATATATAAAACGAATTTTAGAGCGTTCTATTATCTAAAGAAAAATCGTATTAATATGACACTATGCATGAGACACACGAACTGATTAATACTATCCTTGTCCAGTGTTGGGAATTTGAAAATTTGTTCAAAACTATTTGACATTTACAATTAACTTTATACTAGTAATAAAAATATATATTTATTTAAAAATGCAAGACTTGTTTTTTTTGTTTATAAAAAGTTTTTTGGATAGGTTTGGATAGTTTTGGTCCCAACACTGCCTTACCATTTCCGCCCATACTAATTAACATGACGTGAGACGATAAAGACGAAAAACAGCGTGCTTCCTGAATCACAACCGAATGGCTACAATAATCGTCCTGAACTATATCGATATCATAACTACAGTAATGACGCTGACATATTATTTGATAGAGGAGCCACTCCAGGTAAGATTTTTTAGTCAATCAAAAATGCTTAATTTTGACTACGTAAGATCAAGCTCTACCCACCCCCTAAATATTAGCTAATAAATGTCACTGCCCTGATAGCTAAAAATGTAAATGTATAAGATTAGTTTTTCCAATGTTTGGCTCTACATGCATAAATATAGAAGCACTTCCCCTGTGTGTTGATACCAAAAATGTGTTTGCGAAATAAAAAATGACGGCTGAGATCGTGAGGTATCGTTGAATGTTAATATCTCGCTAGCCTGACTCGAAAAGATATAATTTTGTTAAGCATTTATGCCAGAAATCGGGTGCCATTTTTTTGCATGAACAATTTTCACGCCACGTGACTCAAAAACCGAGACCTCGGAAAATATAGAAATTCAACAGTCCTAATTGCGAATAGATTCACATTCTTTGGAAGCCAGCGAAACTTTATTATTTTTATTCAGAGCACTCAGTCGAGTACATAGCACTTTATTACAAAATAAAAGTAAAAATCAAGGGTTGCATATAGGAATCGATTCTCGAGCACAAATTGCGACGATGCTGACGATTATGACGATGGTGACTGACGATTATGACGATGGTGACAGCAATAACGACGACGATGGTAATGACATAGCTTTTTTTAATTACATGTTGATTTTTTTCCTTTTCGTTGTACTTTGATTAGTTGAATTCGCAGAGATTCTGTATCTGTTTCATTACATGACATATTAGTTGTAACGTTTATCGTTATCGTTACAAATCAATTTTGTCCTTAAAATCTAGAATTTTAATCGATTCTCAAATATTAAGCGATTCTAAATTAATCGATTCTAGAGAATCAATTCCTATCCCTAAATGGTAATTAGTGTAAAACACTAGCAGTAGTCGGATCCAGGGCCCGCCTCGAAAGACAATGACCCCTATTCTTTGGTCTCACTAGATTACTCGATTCAATCACGTTAATTATTATTACTAAGTTGTTCTTCATTATCACTAATTAACTCTTCCTCGATCTCGATTCTGACGTTACGCCCTTAGGATTTTTTGTTAGATATTTATGGAGACTCCTATTGTAGCATGCTGTCGTCACTCAATTCACGGCTTTTCTCTGATATATTGATGATAAGTGCGCTTTTCGAGGTTTTGTTTATCTTTAAGAGGCGGTCAAATTCATGCCAGAGAGTTAAAGTGCTATCGGTATAATCAGTGTTTTGGTTGAGCCAGCATTTGTGGAGGACCTGGTATTACTATTGTGACCAATTCCATCACATTTTCATATCCGAGAATTCTTATATTGTTATCGAGGTTGTTGAATTTTTTACCATTTTGGTGTAAGCGTTTTTTTGCATTCAATTTTCTTAAATAATAGATGGCTATGCTGAAGATTAATAATAGTTTTGTTAGCTCTATGGCTTAGTGATTGGGAAAAATTGATTATAGATAAAAATATCCTATAACAATATATATTATCTCGTCACACTAAGATATTAGAAAGCCTATTTTCTATTTTCTACTTGATATATAAGTGGCATCATTTGTTGTATAAATAATTAAATAATTTCTTTTCTCCACTAGCCAACTCCATGGGGTCGGGCCACGCATCTCTAATCAGTTTCAATATATCGATATCGTCCTGATTCCATTTGTCCAAACAATTATACACGGTTTTGTACAACCCGAATGCACAGACAATATTGTCTCTTGGATTCCAAAAGTCTTCTTGTCTTATTCGATCATGTGTTTGAGCTTGGTGTGTCGTTAATGTCAAATACGCGTAATTTCGATGTCGCAACTCCCAATTAGAATATAGTGACAGATAAGGTTTAGCTTTGTTACATGTAGTCTCATTATTTTCAAAGACATATTCCTCTGAAAATTTGCTTGTTACAGCATCATAAAACAAATTCTCATTCTTAATTGTGTAAAAAATAAATTAACTCTGGTGTAATAGGACTAATACCATCCCAATCTAGCAAATTGGTATTATAATGTCCATTCCTGTTTGGCTACGGTTGTATGTCGCAGCTGCGAAGCGAATGAATAAACTCTTAATTGAATCTTGATTGGAGTATAAGTAATTTGGATGAAATGTGTAAAAGTCATCAATCCTTCGGCTAATCTTGGGGAAAGTTTTTAAATATTGTTATAATTTTTCTGACAAAAAGAGATATCAGAAAATCTTTTACTTTAATTGGCCGTGAATTAAAAATTTTTTAAGTGTAATAGTGCTGGTAAACGATGATATTTTACTCCTAGTAGCCTGGTACCAAGCCATCATTAAAAGTAACCGAACGACCAGCTCTCCACGATAACCAGGCAGGTTTCACATATCCGAAACGTAATGCCCCCAGGATAAAGTTCAGTAATATTTTGAAGACTATCTTATGGCTCATAAGTGACGCTGCAGCCTCAGCAAATATCAGTTCAGAAGAGTAGAATGTCAATATTCTATTCCGATCCTCAGAAACGTGAACACATGTTCCCATGAATCTGGAAACTAATTCTGAAACAATATATTATTGCATTTAGTTCTCCGCACGGTTCGGGTCAACCCGAAACAAAAATAAAATTTTTTACTAATAAAACCTCTATTGACATAATAATTAAACTTGTTCACCATATAAATAAAATTCTATTATATGACCAAATTTTGTGAGATTTTGGGCACAAATAATTATTTTATGAGCTTCTAAAGGTCATCGACCATAATATCATTAATAAAAAAGATTAGTCTATATCTATTCTAAATGTTCTCAAAATTTCAAAATATATTGAGCGTTGGTTCAAAATTATTGCATAAAAAGTATTTAGACTTGAATGTATGATATACGGTTGCAAAATTCGCCTCAAGAATGTTTTATTTTAGGTTATTAATAATTATATATAGTATATCAGTCAGAGAAGTTCAAAATTTATTGAAATCTCTTTCTGATTATTTTATGTATTGCTGAGAACAGATTCATTTTTTCTCTTGAAAAAATACCTGACCAATATTAAAACATACTCAGTGCTACATTTTCAAAAAGACAATGCATTATATCTATTAGAAACAAAGTCAGAAATTCGACGGATGAAAAAAGTAACAAAAATGACAGTATCGCATTTTTCGTTATGTAAGATCCGTATCAGTATACTCTAAATATACATAAAAGTAGATTTTAGAAAGAAAAAGTTCTAGATTAATAAATAACTAAATTTTATAAAATATATCGTAAACACAAAAGAAGCCGAAACCGCTTTTGATGATTGTTGTGTTTTAACTCAAATACCGTCAGGATTTCTAGATTCAACAAGAATAAAAAATTTAAAGTAGTTACCATTTCTTTTAACAAAAAGCACTATTATTCATTGGTTTTGTTGGAATCGCTTGGAACATACAACTGACACTTGTAGAGCCTAAATGTTCGATATAAATTTTATTAACGTGACATGATAATATTACATGTATTTATATTTATTAACAAAAAGCATCTGTATCATTTTGAATTGAATTAATTAAATGGTAAAGGTTTGACTGGTGTAAACTATATTTGGGTGTATCTGTTGCTTTTTTACAATGCCATCTTTTCATCAAGTTTAACTAATTTTTGTCTTCTAGTTTCATCTTTTGTGTTCTAGGATAGTTTAAAGAGTCTAGTCAGGGATAGGAATCGATTCTCAACTCAAAAACGATTTCAAAATTGACTAATTACTCGATTAATCGATTTTAATTTGAGGATTCGATTCTCAACCCCCCCCCCAAAAAAACGATTCTCGAGCACAGATTATGACGATGGTGACGACGACGACGGCGATGACATAACGGGTCTTTGGTTTTGTTTTTCATTGCAAATTGATCTTTTTCCCTTTTGGTTGGAATTATACTTGATTAGTTGAATTCGTAGAGATACTAGATCGTAAGACTAGTTTAGAGGCAACTAAAGTATTGTCATTCTGTATCCGTTTCATTACATGTATTTTCTGTTTCATTATTAGACTCTGTATTGGCAATAGTTTCTTGATACATATAATTATCAATATCAACATTTTTGTTGAATGGCATAGCTTGTAATGCGTTGTTCCATTTTCACAAGAAAAATAGTGATTTTCCAATCGTTACTAATCGATTTTGTCTTTAAAATCGATTCTAAATTCTCAAATTTTAATCGATCCTTAAATTTAATCTTTTAATCGATTCTTAAATATTAATCGATTCTAAATTAATTGATTCTAGAGAATCGATTCCTATCCATAACCGTATTTGGTTTCCACTCCTCATAGATCGAGAAGATAAAGTCTCCAAAGATGGTCGGTTTTTTGGGATGGGAGCCCAATATTTTTTCACACCATCCGGGAACATTATTTGATATCTTAGATCGTACTCCTACAGAATGTCATATACCTGATACGAGCTCGTACCTATAAATATCTGCAGCCTTAGTGTATGGATTTCCATTTAGTAACTCTGGACTCATAAGGAACAACTCCGTAATTTTTTTGACTAGAATTTTCTATATCTACTGAGCTGGTAAGTACAAATCAGCAATATTAGGAGCAATCTTTATTGATATATTTCCAGGATAGTGTTTCTGTGGAAACTGTTTTTCAAAATCCGAAAAGTTTCGCCTACAAGTTCGAAACCCTAATTTTCTAGATAAAATTATACGAAACTAGTTTCGCCTGGAACACCATTCCAGGGTGAAAGACAATGCACAAAATTATCGCTGTGAATTTCATTTAGCACTAATTTTTCGTTCCAATTCAATTTTTGTAGCTGGAATTAATATTTTTGCGAGCATCGCTATCGAGTATTCATTGTAGATGAGTTTCTTTATATAGCTTATTCGCACAGTGCACTTTAGAGCAATCAGAAACGATTTTCGAAAACTTAATTGCACTAGAAAGCAAAAAAGCATACTGATTACACTTTAGAAATGGTTCACTTTTACCTCGTTTATAAACTCCGATGCAATGTCTTCAACACAGCCGCAACAAAGTTTAAATTTATTTTCTCCATGATCACATTCAAAGTTGCTTATGAATGGTTCTAAACCTCCTTTTGCAAGATATTTAACATTTGTGAATCTTTCAAAAGGGATCCATCTTTGATTTTTATTGTATCATATATTAGAGAGTATTCAATCTAACAAATAAGTTTGTGATATTAACTATATTATAGCAGACTCCTTTTTTTGACAATAGAAATATTTATCACAATCATGAGTATTGTGAACACTCATCGCAGTAATTCCATTTTGGATTTACTACAAACGTGAGTATTGTATTTCGAAAATATTTTGACAATTGACATATATATTACAAAGAGTATAGATTCCATCTTTATGTGTTGTGTTTTATTTAGAACTTTGAAATAATGATACGTTACGTACGTATGTGTGAAAGTCGTTATTTCTTTATAGAATCATGTTTATACATAAATTGCCAGCATTACGTAGTAGGTAGGCATCTAACATGATTGGACATATTTAAACTATCAATGCTGAGAATCATTCGTGTACAGTTGTCACGTACGTATTTAGTAAATGTGGGGACTCGAACCAGACCAGACAAACACACGTATTTAATGTGAGTCTGGTAATAATGTACATGTATTATATCGATAATGATAATATAATTATTTAATAGCGATAGCAGTTGAGATATTACACCTATAATATACAAAATTTATATTATACATGTACTAAATTCAGAGAAAGTAGAACAACTAGGATTATTGTTATTGCCGTGGCTGGACTTTTTGCTATGGCTGGGCTGATCGCTATGAGTGACTGTGATGGCTTCACTGATGGTGATAGCTTCACTGACGGTGATAGCTTCACTGACGGTGATGGCTCCACTGATGATGGCTCCATTGATGGTGATGGTTCCATTGATGGAGTTATCACTGGTGTTGACTTTGGTGGTGATGGCTCCACTGATGTTGATGGCTTCACTGATAGTGATGGCTCCACTGATGGTGATGACTCCCCTGATGGAGATATCACTGATGTTGACTCCCCTGATGGAGATATTACTGGTGTTGACTTTGGTGGTGGTGTTCTTGTTGGTGGTGCCACAGCTACTTTCTCACAAGGGCCGCCGTTTCTGCCGCAAACTTCGTCCGACATACAGCAAGAACCGTCTTCACAAAGTACATCACTGGCGTCACAGGGACGATAACACAAATTTCCTCGTATGCAAACTTCGCCGAAGTTACAACATCTAAAATTTGGACATTGGACTGGGCAATATAAATCTCTTATTAACAAAGATGAGTTTTTTGGGGATTTTTCGTCAACACTCCGCCTAAGAAGAAATGATTCATCTTTTCTCCGTTTCAGGGGCACCGTGGCAAAAGTGAAATTATTGAAGATAACAATGGTAAGAACAAGGATTAAAGTGAGACTCTTCATGATGAATTTGAAACGTGTTTGAATAATAATATACATGTACTTTGTTGCGTGTGGCGTATTTATACGTGAATCAGATGGCGCAGTTGCATTATATTACATGTACATGTATACGAGCAGTTATTAATAATTGACCTTATTGACATGTTTGCAAACAAAATTCCCAACACATACAAATAGTCTATTTTCCTATTAACCCTGAAACTTCTATCATACAAAAATTTCAAACGTTCTGTAATCACCTTCATTTAGAATTCTTCTCTTACCGTTACGTCTTGAAAAAGATTCTGCAAAAACGATTGCCATTTCCGCATTTAGAATTTTTCTTTGTCGTTATTGTTATCGTTTTGGAAGTCAAATGCACGGGGGCTATCCTTTAACGTTATACAAAAAATGTTATTGGTTTTACATGTATTTAACAATAACGATAACAATAACGATAAATAAATCGGATTTGTCAATTCCAGTAAACAATATTCAGCAAAAACCACAAAGTCATCAAACATTTATATTTTATAAAATATAAATGTTTGATGACTTTAGATGGTCTGCATCATAGTAGTATATAAATATTCTATTTATATTTTTATTACCTTGAAGTTTTAAATTAATATTTTATTTATTGCATTCTTGCAAAAGTACATTATACGTACATGTACATGTATTTACATATACGTAATGTATAAGCAATAGAGCTATTAATTGATTGGTTTTCATTATGCATTATTGAAACTGAATTCATACAATAAAATTAACAAATTAATTTTTGACTTTTCATACACCATACATATATACGAAAATCAGTTTTCAACAAGTAGAGATCCATAATATGTACTGTATTTAAACTTTCAAAATTGATTTTTGAAATTTAAAGTACCATATTCTCTTTTTTGAGCATGCATTATTATTGGAAATATCAAAAGTCAAATTCATTTAATACATGTATATTATAAAAGAATGAGAATAATTATAAATGTAATAATTTTATTAAACTTGCAATTAATTTTTTTCATAAGTTTTTTAAATTAATTAATCACTTTAATTTATTGAGTTTTTATATAGTAATTAATTAATAAAATATAGTAACATGCAGGTTTTTTCTTATATAAAGTATCAATTTTATTAATAACCATTTTTCAATTTATAAGAAATCCAGTTCCAAAAATGAATTTGTTACTTTGAAATTCAATATTTTGAAATTCAATATTTTGATATTCAATATTTTGATATACAGCGATTTCATTCAAACAAAGATATCATTATTAGATTTGTCTTAACTATAAATCTAATAGTACATGTAATATCTTTGTTCAAATAGAATTACTATATGTTAAAATATCAGATTTCAAAGTGAAAATTCATTTTTGAATTTTTAGTAATTTATTATAAAAATTTATAATATTACAAAGCATATAGATATAATAATTTTTTTTGTAAAATTTGGTATCAAAATTGATAAATTAAAATTTTTAATATTTAAATAGGAATAAAAATTATTAAAAATATTTTTATTTTTACTTAAATATTAAAAATTTTGATTTATTAATTTTGATTCCAAATTTTACAAAAATTATGTCTATATATTTTGATATATTAAATAAAAGTTGAAAAAATTAACTAATTAAAATTATATTTTTTATTAAAAATCAAGTAATTTAATTGAGTTTTGAGCAAATTTTTTTTCATCTAATAATATATTATTAAGAAATTTTGTTTTTATATTCTAAAAAATATAATTATAAATTTTTATAACTTTTGAAAATTTTTTATTAAAATATATATAAAAATATATTTATTATTATATTATTAGTAATTATAATAATTATATTAATATATTTAATTTAAAAAAGATTTTTTGCAAAATAAATTAATTAATTTTTTATATTTAATTTATAAATAAATATAAATTATTAGTATATTATATAGAATAAAAAAATTAATTAGTAAAAAAAATTATATATAGATATAGTTTTATTATAACTATTATACATATAATATCAGTAAAAATGATAATTTTTTTTAACTTTTCAAGATATTAATAAATATAAAATTTAATAATTTTTAATTTTTGAACTATAAATAGATTTTTAATTAACTTCAGATATCTTTTAGAACATTTTAATAACAATTTAAGAGAATAAATTTACTTCTAACTCAAAAAACTTGATATACTTGAAATTTAATTTAATTTAAATTTAAATAAATATATAGATAATATTAACTATTTATATATTATAATATTATAAATCACTATACTTAAAATACTAATTAAAGTTAAATTTTTATAAAATACTAATATAAAATTGCAAACTATTAATATTAAGAAAATGTTAACAATTTATTAAATTTATTTGTGAAATATAAAGTAATTAAAATCTTATTTAGAAATTATTATTCAAAATTTATTTTTTAAATATATAAATATTATTATAAATATTATTATAAATATTATTATACCTATATTATCAGAAATTAAAAAAAATATAGTAAAATATAGTAAAATTAATATTATTTCTTTATATTAAATTTATTATTTTATTAATAAATTTTAATATAAAAAAACAATATCAATTTTATTATATTTTTTTATTTCTGATAATATA